CTGTGTGACACAGAGGCCCCCACAGACACCAGATCTCACCCTGTGTGATACAGAGGCCCCCACAGACACCAGATCTCACCCTGTGTGACACAGAGCCCCCTCCCCAGACACTAGATCTCACCCTGTGTGACACAGAGGCCCCCACAGACACCAGATCTCACCCTGTGTGACAGAGCCCCCCTCAGACACCAGATCTCACTGATACTGCAATTTCAATCTTCAGTAGGTTCTTGGTCTTGGTGACTCAAAGAATGAATCCGTGGACCACAGATCAGTGGTAAGACAGAATTTCTTTTCTTTTCTTTTTTTTTTAATTTCTTAGAGCATAACTGTGTACATTAATGCAATCATGGGTAAGACAGGATTTTTTACAGAAAAGAATACAGAAGTGCCAGAGCTTCTGGCAGAGAGAAAACTGGAGTTGGGAGAGAAAAGTGCTCTTTCCCCCTCTCTGTCTGTCTGTAGGCTCTTTGTCTAGGGGTCTATACAGTTGCACGGGGCCCTTAGTAGTCACATTTAGTGTGTCTGGAACATGTCTGGCCCTCGGTAGTTGCATTTAGCAGGGCTAGGTGGTTACATATAGCATGTCTTGGACATCTTGTCTGGGACATGTCTGGAACATGTCTGGGTTGCAAATGAATGGCTATAATCTCTTTTATTCCCAGGCCTAGGATATGGGCCCCCCTGCCCACCCTCCAACCTGCTGGTTCTGTTGCTTGCTACCACCGCACCAACATTGCCAAGGTGGAGTGTTGCCTTACGGGTCTCGTGGAAAAGCGATGTCGTGGAGAATAAGCACGCTTATTGAAATTGTGTTTTAAGTAAAGGTGACTATCTGCTTGCTCAGGCAAAATGACGAGCTTCTTTATCTGCGGTTGGTTTGTATAGGGAATTTTGTACATGCGTACAATACAGCAATGGCCTCATTGATCCATTTAAACATCATGTGACTACCTTGTGATTAGCTTTTGATAATCCACTCAACATACACCTTTGACATAACCCTATCAACATAACCCAATTTAACATAACTTAATGGAGAACATGTTGTTAGCCATTACTTCTTTGTTCTTATCTGATGAAGCCTGAGGCTATGAAGGAACAAGGTAGATTCAATACCTGCCCTTGCTGGCCTTGCCTTTTGGAGGCTGTTACTTTGGATCTTTAAACAAGGCATAAAGAAACTTCAAGGGCATACAGGAATTTGTGTGCAAACCTCTGCTCCCATGTAGGCCTTAAGTCAGGGGTTTTTTGCTGGAAACTTTTATAAGGAATTTTTAGGCTGGACTTCTAATAAGCCTTTCATGAGCCCAAGTTTCATCTGTGCCATTAGATATCTGTATGCATTGGGTAAATTCCTCTTCTCTTGAGGTCCCTGAGCACATTTCCATTCCCAGACCCATCAGCAAGCGACCTTCATTATCACAGATCAGGCGGGAAAGGTTACTGATGGGTATCTGGCCAGTTTTCCAAAAGGCTTTTTTATTGGCCTTATAAAGTCAACCTTAATTCCTTAACGCAGTAAATGCTATTCCAGCCAAAGCCTTAGTCATGTTAGGCTCACAACCAACCCAGCCACATGGGAGTCTGCCTCAGTTTCTTACAAGTATGGCTGCACAAAGTCTTTTCACTGCTCTCACTCAAATGGCTTTTTTGGCCAGAAGCATATAGGCATTACTCCTATACCTCCTGTCTCAGCCTCCCAAAGAGCTGGGACTACACATGTGAGTTACTGAGTGGCCCATCCTAAATACTATTTTGGTGTTTTTTTGTTTCTTTTTTAAGAGACAGAGTTTCACTTTATTGCCCTTGGTAGACTGCCGTGGCGTCACACAGCTCACAGCAATTTCCAATTCCTGGACTTAGGCAATTCTCTTGCCTCAGCTTCCCAAGTAGCTGGGACTACAGGCACTTGCCACAACGCCCAGCTATTTTTTGTTGTTGTTGCAGTTTGGGCAGGGCCGGGTTTGAACCTGCCACGCTCGGTATATGGGGCCGGTGCCCTATCCACTGAGCCACAGGTGCCATCCCTAAATACTATTTTAATAGAAAAATTCAAACCAAATAAAACAGAGAGACCAGTATAGTCAGTTC